TCCATGATTTCTCGACATGGGGTGGAGTGGAGAGATGCCCCTCAATCCAAAATCCATGATTCAATCGAACTGTTGACACTTAGAATCATGGCATCACCTATCTCCTCTGTCACGTGGGCAGATTCCTGTGCGCTGATATTTTTCTTCAGTGCTCGACAATCTCTTTTCAAGTGACCCTTCTTGCCGCAGTTATAACAGGTAAAATCTTTATTTCCTGTTCTTGATTTTCCTCTTTATGGATTTGGATCTTCCATGATTCGAATTTCTTTTTGAAGTTCTTCCTCTGGACTCCGTGTGCAAGGCTGAGGAGGTTGATGCTTCACCTCATTCTCTCCGTCGAATTTCTTCGCTCAATACCAGATCCCAAACATCGTTGAATTTTAATTTGTTGTTTGCCGACGAGCTACTGAATGTTGTAAAAGTAGCATTCCAACTATCTGGTAGAGATGATAAGAGAATTAAAGCTCAAACTTCATCATCGAATTTAATTTCCACGGAACTCAACTGTGTTGTGATTATGTTGAGTTCATTCAAGTGTTGAGCCATTGATGCTCATTCTACCATCTGCAAATTGAATAATCGCCTCATCAAGTGAACTTTGTTTGAGGCTGATGGCTTCTCAAACATACTAGAGAGATCTGCCATAAGACCCGCCGTGGTCTTTTCCTTTTTTATGTTGAAAGCAACATTGCGGGACAACGTCAGTCGGATAACTCCGAGGGCTTGTCTGTCGAGAAGAGCCCAGTCTTCATTCTTCATGCCCTCAGGTTGCTTTCTTGAGAGAGGTTGATATAGATTTTTCTGGTATAGAAAATCTTCAATCTGTATCTTCCAAAAGTCAAAGTTCGCACAATCGAACTTCTCAATTTTCACATTTCCTTCGTTTGCAGCCATCGCTCCCACTCGTATCTGGCTTCGTTTGGATCGTTTCTTACAATTCTTGCGAACCACCATCTATTATAACACCTCCGTCGACAAGCTCGTATCGTCGATAAATTTTTTTCACTATTCATGAAATTCACTATTCACATGAATAGTAATCTCACAAAAATTGACAAAATTCACAACTAAAAGCTCTGATACCAGTTGTTGGGAAATAAATTGAGTACGAGTAATTTCCCTATAACCAGATTAGTGAGAATGTGAAATAAAAGCGTAAACAAATACCCGAAATTGATAACGGAGTTTAGTCAATTTGCTTATGTCTCCGAACTACTGCAGATCTTTTACTAAGAGAGAAAATTTATAGGTGTTTACAAAACACTCACTACTCACAAGAAAGTTCTCTAGTATTGGGAGAAAGAAATGATTTTTGGGAATTTGGGATGATTTTGAAGCTAAATGAACTAGGGTATTTATAGTTGAAACTTAGGGACTAATCTTGTAAATACCCTAAAGTTTAATTACTTAATTTTTTAATTATCCCTATTACAAAATAATAAAAAATTTAGCAGCCCCTAATTTTTCAAGCAACCCATGTGTTTTTTTTTTATTTTTCAACAGATATACCCAAGTTTTCCCATGAAAAAGCCGAAGATATAAGATGAGAGGGGGTTACCTTGACATATACCTCGCTCCGGAGTAAAAGAGGAAATGAGTGCGCCATTCTACTGAATTTACATGGAGGACGAGTAATGCATTGCATAATAATTTGAGAGATCCGAGTAGGGAACCCGATGTCAATAACGGTCTCATGAATAAAATCTCACTTAACTCTATCAAAACTTTCACTAAGTCAACCTTAATCGTCATCAACTCCTATATTGATTTCTTATTGTGCATATAGTGGATAATTTCCTAGTTAAGAATGATGTTCTCGATGATAGACCTCCTAGAAATAAAGCTTGTTTGTGTTGGGTAAATGAGGTGAGGCATAATGGGTTTTAATCCCCAGATAATAATCTTGGTGATCAGCTTGTAGAAGAACGGGTATAGGAGGATTGGCTGAAAATCAACCATTTTTTGGGGAATGTCAACCTTAGGGATGAGTAAAATAGTTGTTATATTGAGAGAATGTTCAATCGAGTTACCAGTGAACACACCTTTAACCATACAACAGACATCAAAACCAACTATATGCAAGTTCATTTGAAAAACCTTCACATAAAGACCATCGTCGCTAAGAGCTTTCAATGGAGCCATATCCAAGATAGCAATATGAATCTCATCTTCTTTAGGGAAAACATCAAAGATCAAAATATCATTTGGAAACATCCTGGGAGGGGAAAATGACCACCTAACTACAATGATTAGCATATAAATATCGGAAAAAAATTGAGGCTTCAGTTTGAAGTCTCTCCTCATCATAGCATCATTCTTTATCAATAAGCTTAAGGGAAGAAATGTTGTTCTTAGACTTACGATGAGCTACCTTTTGGTGGAAGAACTTGGTATTTCTATCACCGTTGGTGATCCAATCTATCCAAGACTTTTGTTTCCATAGGAGCTCCTCCTAGTCATGTAACGATTCCAATTCGCATTGAAGAGTTGACTCAAGAGAGGATAAATAGGTAGTATTTCTTTACCCAAGTTTTTTTTAAACCCCCTTAAGCAAGCCATGACAGTCCGCTTCTTTGCACCAATATAGTCAAACATGGTTCTGTTCCAAATATCAACATGCACAAAAAGTTGGAGATTGTTTAAGATAAGCTATAGCCAGGCTTACAATTATCAATAACCATCTTATCGAAATAATAATTGGAGAACTAGCCAAAGAATTATTTGAAATAAAGGGAAGGAGATATTAGACAAAAATGTTAATCCGAGATAAAAATATTAATAATAATAAATAAATATTATTATATAATCGAATGAAGTAAAAATACTTATAAAATTAAAATAGAGAAAAAAAGCCTTAAGGAACTGCTCATCTTAATAAGAGTTACACAGAGCATGATCAAGGTGAGCTTAAGCATGGCCTCAGTTCTAGGTAAAATCAAGATCTTGAAAACCCATGTCCCGAAGGCTAGTAGTAAAGACAAAATGCTAAAAGTCCTTACCAACTTTAGTAGTGGCAGCACAACCTTTGAAGTCAAAGGAGAATAAAATAGTGTCAAAATCCCAAACAGAATCCAAAGTGAGTGAATAGTAGAGCTAGATAGTCAAGGTGGTGCCAAATAATTTTCCTGTAGGGCTAGCATAAATAAGTGTAGCCAGAGAATGAACTTGATTCTTTATGTGTTAATAACTCTCCAAAAGAGTTATCATTGTAGCACATTATACCTAGGTTTAGCTTGAAATTGAGTATGTTTTAAAGCATTTGAGATTAATTTAGTCTTAATTACATGTATTTTTACATCATTAAGAGTTTGGTTAACTTGGGGTAATTTCTGCTGAAAAAGGTGTAAAATGTTGCAACACTAGAGTGGAGGCTACAACAATTGATGACTCACCGTGTTGGGCAGAATATTCTAGAATAGGACAGTTGGCTAGGACAACTGTAATCATCTCCTATCAGCTTATGCAACGTGGAAAAATCTCATTGGAGAGGATTTGGCCTCCCTCACATATAATTAGGGTCGTCCTTAGCTTAATTCTACATCAAATATTCATTCTCTCCTTTTTCTCACAAACTTCTTATTTTTTCATGGCTGCTTAAGCCACTCAGCTGGGAAGTGATGTAGCATCGGCAGTCACCAAGAGATCTCTTCAGCTTTCTTATACTACGCCTGAGATAAGGTAGTTTTACTTAGTTGAATTTATGTTATTGTGGATGTTAATTATTTTAAACATAGTCATTTGATTGTATAATTTGTTATTATGAATATTTTTAATTTGCTACATTGTGCCTTGCACTCATAAATGATGAAAGAGATTTTATTGTTTATGTATGTTGTTTATTTTGTTTAGAGATAAACTTAATGATATGCATACTAATTTTATGGCATTGGTATTGTCAGAAGCAAATGCATGTTGAGATATATGTTGCTGAGTGTTTAGTATAATTTACTAAGTTGGTTGTTTGTTTTAGTTAGAACTAATTCTTAATGATCAATTAATTATAATCAATTCTAAATACATTATAGTAAATTTAAATACAGGAATTTGGTATATAATCCCTTTTAGCATTTTACTCTAATTGATAGCTGACTCTGTGTTGTACTCAATGTTGTAGCATGACCCTGCCTTTCTCTCATTGCATTATATCTTTTAATATTTGTTTTGATCACATGCTATTTCAATAATTAATTATTTTACTAACTCATTTGTAAATAATATTGCTCTCTGTGGGTTTGACATCCAAAGTCTTAATAAGGTTTCCACTTTATTATTTGTGTGATACGTATGCTTGCTGTTATGCTGTAGCATTTTTATCATCATCACGTTTTTGGCGTCGTTGTTGGGGAGCAACTGTTTACTTTTGAGTTTCATTTTATTTTACTAACTTTTTTATTTTCTTTTCATAGGTGTTTCTTATATTGTATGTTCGATATTGAACACCTTTTTCCACTTGATCCTTTCACTGAGAGAACCTTTGGACGTCATCAATAAGAAGTTAATCGAAACTGAATTCAAATGGGTGATCAACCACAAGGTCACAAGGCCCTGCCACCGCTGTAACATGCTACTGAAGGAGAAATATCACACGACATCGAAGCTAAGTAGTATCCATACTTCAATATGGATGATCGTAATCGACCGTTTAGGGAGCATGTTTTCCCAAGCTAGATGATTTATAGCCTAGAATTGTCGGAATAGCCATCAAAGCTGCTAACTTTGAGTTGAAGCTTTTGATGCTTCAAATATTGAAATCTATGGGGAAATATAGTTGCTCATTCACCGAATATCCACGAGCACACCTTAGAGCATTCATGGAGGTGTGTGATTCCTTCATACAACAAGGAGTTCCTGAAGTGGCTCTGACGCTGAAGTTTTTCCCTTATTCGATGCTTGACAAAGCTAAAGCATGGCTCAATTCACTGCCACTGGGTGTTATAGCATCTTGGAATGAGCTTGCAAAAACGTTTCTGTTACGCTTCAATCCTCTTAATATGAATCCAAAGCTTAGGAATGACCTTACCTCTTTCAAGCAACTTGAAGATGAGAATATATATGAAGCTTGGGAGAGTTTCAAGGAGTTACTTCAAAGGTGTTGTAAGCATGGATTTCATCACTGGATGCAAATGGAGATATTTTCAGCAAATAAGGCATTGCTGGACAAGTCGTACAATGAAGCATATGATGTATTGGAGAGGATTTCTAATAATGACTATCAATACCCAATACGAGGAACATGTTTTGCTTATGCAATGCTACAACACTAGACACTGACGTGTTGAGCTCAATGGCGTCTCAAATCACAGTATTGACAATATGGTAAAGAAACTGCAAAGGTTGGCTAGCACGTATGAGGTAAAAATGTTTCTACTACCTTTCGTGTTTACTATGAAGATGGACATAATTATGAAGAATGTCCACAAAACCTCGAGTCTATTTGTTTTATGAAAAATTTCAATAGGGATAATAATGCCAACATATATGGGAATGCATACAATGCCAACTATCATAACCACCCTAATTTTTCATAGAGGAGCAAAAACGTTGCAAATCTAAATGTTGTACAATCTAATTTTGGTAACCAACAACAACATTACAATCAACAGTTGATGATGCCTTAGCATCATCAACCAACGCAAACACAACAAAGGTAGAATTATTAATGGCAAAACTCTAATCAAAAGCCCAACCTGAACTCTATTGAATCCTTGCTAAAGGAGTACATTTCAAGAAATGAAGCAGTAATTCAAAGCTAATCAGCATCGTTGAGAACGTTGAAGAACCAAGTTGGCCAGTTGGCCAATGCTTTAAGTAATAGGAAACTAGGGACCCTACCCAGTGATACCGAAGTACCTAAAGCTCATGGGAAGCTCATTGTAATGAGTACTGTAAGGCCATCACAACCAAAAGTGGAATTCATACTAGAAGACCTACTGTTGAAAACAAGAAGAAAGATGATGAGCAACAACCCAAGGATAATGAGATAACACAAGACACATCTATTTCAGACGTTGCAACAAAACATGTTGGACAAAGTGATAATTTTGGAGTAATACCAGCAGCAGCACCTCACCCTGTGCCTCTTGTCACACCCATAATGCCACAACCAACTTAGAATCAATGAACTCCAAGACCTCCTCCTCCGTTTTCTCAAAGATTCAAGAAGACCAAGGAGCAAAACAATTTAAAATTCTCATTGATGTACTTCGTCAATTAACAATCAACATCTCGTTGATACTTTGCCAACTACATCAAATCCATGAGTGAAGTATTATCTAATAAGAGAGGGTTGGGTGAGTTCGAAACTATTGTACTGACTGAAGGTTGTATCGATATGGCTACAAGCAGATTGCCACCAAAGCTCAAGGATCCAAGGAGCTTTACTATCCCATATAGCATTGGTGACTAACTTTTTGGTAAAACTTTATGCGACTTAAGTGCCAACATTAACTTAATGCCACTGTCTATTTTCAGGAGACTTGGCCAACTATCGTGACATTGTAGCTTATAGACCGATCCACCGTGCATTCGAGTGGAATAGTGGAGAATATGTTGGTTTGAGTGGATAAATTTATATTCCCTATTGACTTCATTATACTCGATTGCAAAGCTGACAAAGAAGTTTCAATCATTCTTGGTAGACCCTTCCTTGCTACATGGTGGTACTAATCGACGTTGAAAATGGAGAACTCACTATCCATTTAAATAATGAATACATTACTTTCAATGCCTTTAAGTTTTTTTTATATGTATGATAATGTTGAGTGCAATAGAATTGATGATTTTGATGTTTATGTAAAGTAGCATTGGGAAGAAAGCTACAATATGAAAGTTTATACAGCAAATACTATAGCAATTAAATATATTGAAGGCAATGAGACAAGAAATTTTGTGCAACACTTTGAGTCATTAGACCTTTCTGATCGACCTATTCAAGCATCAAAGATGCAAATAGAAGAACTACCTAATATTATGCTCAAACCCTTGCCCAAGCATTTGAGATATGCTTTCCTTGGAGAAAATAATACTTACCATGTCATTGTCACAGTAAAGCTTACAACATCACAAGCTGACAACCTAATTATTGTTTTGAAGCAATATAAGAAAGCAATTGCTTTTAGCATCACTGCTATCAAAGGGATTAGTCAATCATTTTGCATGCACAAAATTATTTTTGAAGATTCGAATAGTAGTTCTATTAAACAGCAAAGACAGTTGAACCCAATCATAAAGGAAAATGTTCGCAAAGAAGTCATCGAATAAATGGATGTTTGGATTATATACCCCATTTTTTTACAACAATTGGGTGAGCCCAATGAAATGTCTTCCTAAGAAAGGAGGCATAAATGTGGTAGCAAATGAGAAATAATAAGTTAGTTCCTACATGCACAACTACGGGATGGAGAATTTGCATGGACTCTTGCAAGCTAAATAAAGCAACAAAGAAGGATAACTTTTCGTTGCGGTTTATTTATCAAATGCTAGACAATCTTGTTGTAAATGCCTTTTATTGTTTTCTTGATGGGTATAGTAGGTATAATCAGATTGCTATAGCTCATAAAGATCAAGGTAAGACAAGATTTACTTGTCCTTATAGAACTTTTTCTTTTAGAAGAATGTCATTCGACCAGTGCAATGCTCCAACAATATTTCAACACTGCATGATGGTAATATTCTCTGATATGATTGATTATTGCTATGAGATATTCATTGAAGATTTCTCTATTTTTGGGCAAGATTTTGAGCAATGCCTTGCTAACTTGGCTAATAGTTTGAAGAGATGTGAAGAAACCAACATTATTTTGAATTGGGAAAAATGTAATTTAATGGTAACCAAAGGCATAGTGCTGGAGCATTGCATTTCTCAATGTGGCATTAAAGTAGACAAAGCCAAGTAGAAGTTATTGATAAGTTACCCCCTCTCTCAAATGTGAAGGCTGTAAGGAGTTTTCTAAGGCATGCGGGTTTTTATCGAAGATTCATGAAGGATTCCTTCCAAATTGCTGAACCATTGTGCTCATTGTTAGAGCAAAATAAGAAATTTATGGTTGATGTTGAAGTTCATAGATCTTTTAAGACCATCAAGTCTAAGCTAGTCAATGGCCCTATTTTCGTACCACCAGATTGGAGTTTACCTTCTGAATTGATGTGCGATGCTAGGGACTTTGTTGTAGGAGTAATGCTGAGGTAACGCAAGGAATGAGTATTCCATGCTATTCATTATAATAGAAAGACATTGAATGATAATCAAGTGAATTATCCCACAACTAAAAATGAATTGCTTGTTTTGGTGCTTGCTTTTGACAAATTTCGACCACACTTGGTTTAAACCAAGATGATAGTTTACACCAATCATTCGGCTCCAAAGAATTTGTTTGCTAAAAATAAAACTAAACTAAGATTGATTCGTTGGGTGCTGCTACTTCCAGAATTTGATATTAAAGTTCAAGATAAGAAGGGGACCGAAAACAAAGTGGCTGACCCCTTATCCTACTTGAAATCCAAAAATTAAGACGGTAAAGCGCATGTAATACCAAATGTTTTTCCTGATGAAAGATTATTGGCCATCGATGCTCTACCTTAGTATGTGGACTTTGTGAATTATCTAGTTAGTGGTATATTGCCACCAGACCTTAATAACCAAAGTAGAAAGAAGTTCATGCTATATGTCAAATCATACTTTTGCGAAGATCCTTACCTTTTTAAATAATACAATGACCAACTTTTAAGGAGATGTGTTCCCGAGAATGAGCAGCAAATCATTTTACAACATTTACACAACGCAACTTATGGTGGACATTTTGGAGGTATGAGTACAACAACAGAGGTCCTCCAGTGTGGTTATTATTGTCCATCACTATTCAAAGATGCTAATACTTTCACACAACATTGTGATTGATGCTAAAGAACATGTAGCATTTCTCAGTGCAATGCCAATGTAGCCTATTTTAGAGATTTAAATGTTTGATGTTTTGGGTTTTGATTTCATGGGACCTTACCCATCTTCTTGCGGTAACAGTTTCATTCTTGTTGTTGTTGATTATGTGTCTAAGTGGGTTGAGGTTGTAGCATTACCCCCAAGTGAGGCTAAAGCGGTTCTTAAATTCCTCCACAAGCATATTTTTATTCGATTTGGAACACCAAGAGCATTTATTAATGATGAAGGTTCCCAATTCATTAGTAGATATATAACTAATTCCCTGTAGTTTTATGGAGTCAAACATCACATTGCTACAACATATCGACCCAATCAAAATGGTCAAACCAAGGTTTCCAACATTGAGATCAAGAAAATATTGGAAAAAATGGTAAATCCCTCGAGAAAATATTGGTCTCTAAGACTTGAAGATGCACTTTGGGCCTATACGAAAACTTACAAGACTTATTTGGGTGTCTCTCCTTACCTATACGTGTATGGAAAAGCTTGTGACTTACCTGTTGAGTTGGAGAACAAAGCCATGTGGGCGCTTAAGAAGATAAACTTTGACCTCAATGTTGCTGGTGATCAAAGAATACTAGAGATCAATGAACTTGAGGAGCTACGCAACAACGCTTATGAGAGTGCTCGAATTTAAGAAAACAAGAATATAAAAGTCATGACCAACATATCTTGCCAAAATGATTTCATGTTGGACAACAAGTGTTATTGTTTAATTCTCGTCTAAATCTTTTTTCCAGCCAAACTCAAATCTCGTTGGTCAAAACCCTTTGAAGTTGTAGAAGCCTATCTCATGGGGGAATACTTTTGAAGAATTTAAGTGATGAAACCATATTCTAAGTCAATGGGTAGCGTTTAAAGCATTATTTCTAAAAACAAAGCCTTAATATCCCCTTCATTACACTAAGCGATGCCCCTTCTTTTTTTAACTCTTTTTGCTATAAATAAGTCAATTTTGAAAATAGTTAGATTTTTAGTTTTGATTAGATCTTGATTATTTTCTTTCTTTTTGTCTAGGTTAATGCTGAAGTTTCCCTGCTGGAATAATTCGCCTAAAGACTACGTGGGCTACATTTGAAGCTATAGCATATGTCAACTAGGCGAGTAACTCTTGGTAAAAAGTAAATAGTGTGAGCTGCCACCCACTTTTACCCTTTCTATATCCACCGTCC